CCCCCTGACCCCCTCTGCTTTCCGTGCGGCTGCTTCTCAGCAGATACCCAGTCCGCGCCCCAGTCCCCACAGTCGCGTCTCCACTTCTCTGGTGGTAGAGGATCTGTTGGTGACCACAGGCACGGTGGCTTTGGTTTTCTTTTCTTGCTGGGTTAAAAGCTTTTCCGTTTTCTGGGGAGGAACGCCTCCCAGGTGAATTCCTTCTGAAACGGGTCGTCCTAAGCGTCCCAGGTTCTCTGCTTCCCACCCTCGCTCTCCACCCCTCCCTGCCGGGTAACTTTATGAGCGGGGCCAAGTTCACTTTCTCTGACAGCATTGTTTTGAGGAATTAATGCCTGGAGCGTTAAGGGATGACACTGGGGGATTAAGCTGGAGACCGATTAAAGGAGAGGCCTCAGGTAGGCTCTTTCTGGTATGTGTGGAGCATTAAAAGGTTATCCCACACAGTCTTTAGCCCTAACCACGGAGTAAGGAAGTGTGCGTTTTAGTGGTGAGAGACTTAATGGGGGTTCAAAAGTGAATGAGTAAACACCGCCCTCAGAAAGCGGCAAGTGGTCGTGGAAGGGCTCTGCTCTCAGGATTGGAGGGAGGAGAGCTGTAGTCATGGTTATAGGAGTTAAGAAAACCGAGTTGCATCTTTCTGTCCTAACTCCACTGGAGTTGCTGAAAGGTGGAGTTTCCATTCGGGGGGGGGGGGACCACCAGCTTCTTTATCTTCCTGGTCCTCCGAGGATGCACTGGAGAAGTCCTGAGGAACTGATGGAAGCAGGGTGTGATGGAATGGGGGGTGGGGATCTTGGGATGGCAGGAGATAGCTTTCCAGGCAGGGTTATGAAACCAGCAAGACCCAGGAAGAAGTAGTGACAGCTGTGGGGGGGACTAGGCCTTTCTGACTCCTGTCTGTCCCTTGGTCCCATCCCAATGGCTTTCAAAGTTTTTTGACTGTGATCCACCATATGAAATTAATTTTACGCCACTGTCAGTTCACTCACATGCATACGTATGTAACTGAAACAAAAGTTTCATGAAATGGTCCTTGTCCCTTCTACGTGAAGTGCATACTGGCATTCTAGTCCTTTTTTTCTTTTTTTAATGGAATCACATACACTGGTTGACTCACGTAGGACTGGGACTCTCAGATACCACTAGTTTGAAAAATTACTGTTCTTTTTTAACCAAAGTAACCTTTGTTACTGGACAAAAACAGATACTACTTTGTAACTAATAATATTCTTTATGCCCTCCTCCATCACCTACAGGTGAGGAGATGTGAGCATGCGATTCCTTTGGGGAAGTGTTTCAGAGTAACTAGAAGAAATGCAGAGGGAGCACTAGCGGGGTCTGATTTAGCAGTGGTCCTTCCTGTGGTAGGGACTGGAGAGGGAAAGAAGGAAAGTAAATTCTACACTAACCACAGATGGTGTTGATAAAACTGAAAAGCACCGCAGAGCTGGGACCCTCCCCCGCCTTGTCAGTCACAGCTGGTGGGCATGATTTTGTGGGTATGTAGGTATAGAGTATTTGTGTGTGCGTGTGATGCATGCACACAAAGGTGTGTTTATCGTGGTTTTCTGATGAATGTTAGTGTGGAAAGAAAGGATATAACTGACACTTGAACACTTGCTTTGTGCAGGCATTTTATTATAATGGGATTTCATTTAACTCTCATCAGCACGCTGTAATTTGATGATCATTTATGCCCACTTTATACCTGAGCAAACAGACCAAGGATGATTAAGAAATTTGGAAATATTAACTAGTCAATAAATACTTGACTCAGTCTGGTTGACTTTTTAGTTTACTACACCACCTGAACCTCTGCCCCCTAACTTTTCATCCTTGCTGTGTGCACGGAGTGGGAAGGTTGGGAAGTGGGGGTTTGGGGTTAGAGGGAGAGAGAATGTGTGTGTTTTTAACTTAGGTTGATGGGTTTGTTTTTCGAAAAGCTGTTGTTCCTGCCTGTAACTTGTTTATCTCTTTTGTCATCTTCCCAGTTTAAAATGGCACTTTGCTTCCTATAAAAATA